CATGACTCATTGGTACTGTAAATATAAATGCAGCATTAAATCAGTTATTCAGGAAGGAACTGAAGCAGGAAGGGTGTCCTTGTTACCATCAGTTAGCAGCAATCTCATGCCAGGACCAATTAAATATTAACAAAAATATCAATACCAAAGTCAAACAACTGGAAATATGAACCAGGTGCTTGAAAAGTTATTAAAATGTATTGTTGCTGGGCTATAACAGGCCCATAATGGTTTTCTTTCATTCCCACGAATTGAGTTTTTAAGATGGCAGAAAAACATGTCTGGAATCTTGCTTCAGGTGAGGTATTAATTGGAGTCCACAATAACCAGACTACAATAGCATTGATATCATACCAAGACTAAGAGTACTGCAGACTGATTAGTGGGCAGTAATCTCATTCAAGATTTCAAATTTCAAACGGACAGCAAACCTCAAGTTGTTTGCAACCATTATCTGAACGGTGAAACGTTTATAACCTTTAAAATTACCATTGCTGTTCGAATAATTTTGTCTCCACGTTATACTTTTTTTCAAAAAACTAGTTTTGGGATTCAAGACAGATATTGAAAGGCAGGGCATTCCGTGCACAATGGCATCCTAATGTATCAGATAATAAGAGAGGTTCAAGTAAAGAAAGAAAGTCTTTCAGCGCATTTGATCTCAATGTTGTTCTAAATTGCAAACGCAAATAACTTCCCATGTGTGTCATCCTGACTCAGTTGGTAGCACTCCTGCCCACCAGGCAGAAGGTTTCAAGTCCAATGTCGGGCTCATATAGTGTGGACTGCCACTCCAAGCTTATGCTGCATTGTTGGTAGTTCCGTCCTTTGGATGAGACATTAAACTAAAGTCCCATCTTTGCTTGTTCAGATGGACCAGGCAAAAAGAGAAGGGAGTTTTTCTTTGTGCCCTGGTCATCAATCTCCCAAATAAAATTGGTGTACTCTTGTGTAATATAAATCTCCATTCAATGACTGGCTAGTAGATGTTTTCTACACATCACTTACACAGGGCAAACAACCCAAACACAACTGGTTAATAAATACATTAAATAATGGATATTACATACAGCAATTTATCATGCAAAATTCTCTCGGCAAAGGTTGTCGTAACTTTGATCTGTATATTAATAGGCTCGGTGGCAAAAAGGGCCTCTTGATTGATTTAAACTATCCTAATTGTTGCATTTGTTGTGCTGCAACATTCCTCAGTCTGAGTTATCTAATAAGCATCTGAAGGCTAAACAGAAATGGAATCTCCAAAGTCTGACTACATACAGACAACCAACAATGATATCATCCTTTGGCTTCCTTTCATTACAGTTTAACTTCTACAGTAAAACGACATACTCAAAGCAAACTTACACACACATAAAAACAAAATATTTTCAAAACAAGACATCTGATTACAAAACTGAGTTCCTTTCTTCCAACCACAAGTATGCAAATCTTGTACATAAAATTTGGCAGATCACAACAATTCAATTATATTTTGAAAGTGTTTCTAATCAAGTTACTAATTTGTATCATTACAAAACATATTCTCACTAACTATTGACACTTTCAATTCATCATCTCAATGCGATTTATTTTCTTAAGACATGGTTATGCAACTTTTGAATCATCAGATAAAGCAGATTTATACACAAAACAGCTGTTTGTAGATCACATGCTGTGATAATTTCTATGCAAAAATCAGGTATGTTCCACCATATACAGGTTTTCTTTGGTTGATTTTATACCTGTGGAGTATATATATTTTATATATATATTATATATATATATATATATATTTATACCCTAACCCTGTAGCTCAGTGGTTAGAGCACTCGCTTTGCAAGCGAGAGACCTGAGTTCAATTCGAGGCAGAGGGCAAAACCTTGGGCAAGTTTCCTTACTCCACGCGCCTAATAATAATCCCTCCAAAAAAAAACAATAATAAATTGGTCATTTACAATCCATGACTGTTTGTGGGACATTGCTGTGCGCAATTGGCTGCCGCGTTTGCCCACAAATATACAGTCTATTCACTTTACAGTATATTCTGTGAAGCGCTTTGGGACGTCTAGAAAACGTGAAAAGCGCTATATCAAATGCAAGGATTATTATTATTATTACCTAACTATAGCAATTTACTGTTGCAACATATTGAGCATTGTTGGCATAGTTATACTTAATATATAAAAGATCAATACGTATCAGATAAATAAAAATATCAGCACCACTACTTCATAAAGGATCTATAATCCTATTGTATAATTTCAATTAGACAACTGGTAAGAAATGAAGTCAGATGTTGATATTACAGGTAACCTCATTCCATGAAAAACCTCATACCATAGTGTAAAAAACGATATGCAAATATGCTTGAATAACTCATCACAGTGGATAAATCTGTTATAAATCTTCGAAACCAGGGTTCCATTTTTCAGCACAGTCCAATTAGACATACAATAAAACAAACATCTGGAAAAGCTCCCACTGAACTAAAGAAATGTATGACACATTAGGAGGCCATTTGACCTTTTTATGTTGGTGTTTGCTCCTCCATGACGTCAACCATCCCAATTCCATCCTCTTTTCTCACACATGTTTTGACAACAAAATATACTCTCAGTTCAGTTTACAGTACATTCTGTGAAGCCCAGACGGCAAAAAAAAAGGCTTAACCCAAAAATGCCACCCAATTCCCAAGGCATTGTATAAATCACACGTCCAATTGATATCACATCATGAAACTGCTTTCTTTGTAAAAAGATTTACTTCAGCAGAGGCAAAATAAAACCAATGCAATCATAGTGCTGAATTATTGACGAGACTTCTGTTGTACACTTCTATCAGTGACATCAATCGCAGATGGTTGGTGAGACAAGTATTAGAAAAGTCTATTCCAGGCAGAGTTCAAAATAAGCGAAAGTACCAAAAATGTTTTAATGATTCTAATTACTGCTGTAGTTAGGCGAAGTTAACCAGTTTAAAATAGATCCATGTATGTACACACCACTCCCACACACGATGCAGAAAATCAACTTATACTCATTATTTGTAAACCAGTTGATTACTTCTTTCTAATTATTATGATCAATATTATTGATTCCAGTGAATTACTTGATATCACGATGTGGAATGACATCACAACTGACTGCATTGCTTTCGACTGACATCTCACATCAGCTTCACTTTGAATTTAGTTTGTTTGGAATGTACAGTTCTGATACAGACAACTGCTGTTCATTTGTTCAGTTACAAAGGTTGAGTATTCCAAAAGGATTTGCCCTGAGCCTTCCCTTCTCCACAGTAAACATTCCCCATTTCTCTTAGCTCAAGAAACTGTGAAGGGAAAGTTAAAGCTGTAATTCAGTCGAGTCATAAATCAGGGCAGCTCAACTTCATTACAACCTTCACATCCCCCTTAAAGTTAAATTCTTATAAGTGTAGTGACTACATCACACTCCTCTCTATCATTCATAACATAAATGTTTGCTTGAATTCAACCTACAAATGCTGTGACAACCATAATTCAGCCCTGACAAGGCAATCCTTGCTAGGCTAATGGTTAAATAGGAAATTATGATTCCATCCAATGGGTTTCCTGTATATCTTTGCTTCCGTCAGTGTGAAAAGAAATCAACCTCACTTTAAATTATTTTCTTCCTGGTTCCTGAAACAATATTAAAAAAATAAAAACCCTAAAGCCATTAGATCAGTGAGTAAATTACATTTAAGGCACGTTTTAAGTTTTGTAGTTATGTGCAACAACAACAATAATGTTATGTTGTTAACATAATATTATGTGCAATATTGTGTACGGCTTTTGCACCCCTAAACAAAAAAACTCAATAAACCTTTTCAAAAGATTGTAATAGGAAAATCTGACCCCTGAAAATAAACCCACAACTCTCTAGGCCCTTCCATTAAAGGTCTTACTTATACAGTATAATTTAATTTAGTGATTCTGGCATGCGAGTTAAAGGTAATAATAAATAATAATCCTTATATTTGGCTTAGTGCTTTCACAGCAAGAGGATGTCTTTAAAGCATGTCACAGGATACGCTGTAAATTGGAGTACCTGTGCTTTTGTGGGCAAACATGGAAGCCAATTTGAGCACAACAATGTCCCACAACAGTCACAAGTGAAACATCTTGCGATACATTTACACCTGCATGAACTTACTTCATTGAGACGGAGCTATCGCTGGTCACTAATGTCCCAACTCAGCATAAAATGTTCCTTTTAATATTTACCACCCCTCAGGTGAGCTATAAAGATTAATGCAAGGTGACAGTGAGCACCACTCGTTAAATATAGTGTATACCCCAGACCATTTTACTCTACTCAATACTAACAGAGGCCTTGTAAATAATATTGTGCCAAATAATCTGTATGTGAAGCACAATTGGCAACACAGGTCAGGTATATCAGGTATATCTGCACAGCACGTCAAGCAGTAAGTTGTAAATGTATACACAATCCTTATGATTAATCATACACGTGACGATTCACAAATGTGGACCCGAGGTTAGGATATTAATCCAGTTAAATACGCAAAAGGAAACCACCATGAAAATGGTTAACGGTCACAAACTCACTTATCTTGCACTTCCTTATCTTAATCCTCTTATGTCCTCAAAGAAGTCTGACATGCAACCAAACATCCTTTTCGCTTAATGCCAAGTATTACATGCTTCCCCTCTCTCTCTCCCCCCCAACCCACACCCCCATATACACCAGCACTACTCAGCAAAATTATTTGGGGACCGCTACTCTGTTAGAGCCCCCCTACCCGCCACGGACATATTTTCGCCCACAAAATATACAGTCAATCCACTTTACAGTGAACTTGAGACATCTAAATGAAGTGATAAAGGCGCGATATCAAATGCAAGGAATATTATTATTATTATGATTATGGTTATTGTCCACACCTTCTTTGTAACTGTACCTTTCCACTCTCAACTCCTCCCCTCCCCACCCCACTCACCCACCCACCTCACCCACCTCTGGGCCAGTGCAGAATCTCTGATGGGTTCAATCAGCAGAAAGTCAGCAGAAAAGCAGATCATCACTTGCTCTCAGAGAGAGAGAGAGAGAGAGAGAGACTTTGGGACATCTGTAAAAAAAAGCACTTGTTTAAAAACATACAATAAAAATGTGGACTTTTAACCAGTCTGCAGAGAGCATCTGCTGTGGTTGAGCCCTCAGTGAGGGGGCAGATGAGAAACAAGGCGCCCTGTGTTATGTGTGATGTCCAAGGACAGTCCTGGGTTAATTAATGGTATTGCCACTGAAAGGCAGGGCAGTGTCTTAACACTGACCCAGACTGGGCTGGACCTGGCTCTGTCTTGCTTGACATGCAATGGGAGAGGAGCAGATCCCTCGGTTCATGTGCTTTTCTCCTCCCCATTTACTGTGTTATCAGTGAACGAGAGAGAGAGAGAGAGAAGAAAGAGAGAGAGAGAGATCAGGGCTGCAATCTTCCACAGCGAGTGGGGAAAGGCAATGGGGTGGAGATGTGTGCAATGTAGATGAACTTACCCTAAAAGGCTGTGTCTCTGTGTGTGTGAGTGACTGCTCTCTTCCAAGGCAGCTCAGTTCAGCTCAATTGCAGTGTCCTCCTCCTCCTCCTCCTCCTCCCTGATCACAACTGGTGACAAACAGGGAAATGCTCTAATCTGGCTGGTCTAAAGCTTCATTTTTTTTACACACACTCAGACAGCCGCCTGCTGCAGGGAATTGGAATTGCCACAAACTGCCTGAGACTCCACTCCCCAGCAGTGGGACTGGGACAGTCAACGGGACATTGGAGGATGGGGGTCTTCTTGCAACTTCATTTCAAAAAAAATGCAGTCACTCAACCCACAAATGTTTGTGGGACACTGCACTGCTGTGCACAATTGGCTGCCGCCTTTCACCTGTAAAATACACAGAGTTCCTTGAACGTTTCCCTAGTAAATCGCCGTCGAATTGTGGTGTATCGTTATGTGCTTTCCAAAACGATATCATTTTTAGGTGGTAGAGGTGCAGGATAGCAATGGGTTTTCTCTTGCACGGAGAAGGGTGAGCCAATAGAGGTCTTTAAAATGGTGAAAGGTTTTGATAGAGTAGACGTAGAGAAGATGTTTCCACTTGTGATGGAGACCAAAACCACAGGCCATCAATATAAAATAGTCACAAATAGATCAAATCGGGAAGTCAGAAGAAACTTCTTTACCCAGAGTGTGGTGGGAATGTGGAACTTGCTATTATAAGGAGTAGTTGAGGCGAAGAGCATAGATGAGTTTACAGGTACTAGATAAGTACATGAGGGAGAAAGGAAGGTTATGCTGATAGGCTTAGTTAAGGAAGGGCAGGAGGAGGCTCATATGGAGCATAAACACTGGCATTGACCAGTACCGAATGGCTGTGCTGTGCTGTATATTCTATGTAATTCTATGTAAGAACCAATAGAAATTGTGGCATATTATTGTGGCAATAATAATAATTTGGTCACTCAATCGAAGATTGTTTGTGGGACACAGCTGTGCACAATTGGCTGCCGCGTTTTGCCCAGAAAATATACAGTCAATTTCACTTTACAGTATATTCTGAAGCGCTTTGAGAGGTCTCGAAGATGTGATAAGGTGCTATATCAAATGCAAGGATTATTATTATTATGGTCAATAACGAATAGTGGCTGAACACAATTTTAGGATTAAATGTTAAAACTGAAAAGATCAGTATTTAAACAGTTGTAAGATTTTAACTCCACTGAAAAGAGAGCTAACAAACTCCAAATAAAGTTTGTCTTTTAAGATCATCTCATGTACTGACATTAATCCTTTGAGTACTTGTTTTACCCTAATGTTTGGAAGAAAACAATTGTGTTTATCATTGCTTTCTGCATGTCTACACATTGCCTGATATCTGGACACATGTTTGAAATGGGGGATTACATTAAGTATCCGTAGAGCATCCTTCAACAAACAATAAATATGAAAACAAGGAGTATTATGTTTGGTTGTTTAATTGGGAGTATGTATCCATTCTCGTAAAGTACATCATAGAACAAAGGTATCAAACATGCAAAATCTGATGATGAATCCTAGACAAACAAAATTAAGTTGTACGACATTGTACACATGTTAATGACGTTACTTTGAACATGATCCATGCCTCAGTAACCTTATTCACGTACAACTTCACACATGCACTGCACAGGAGAGAGAATGAGTGGAGAGATTGGCATAATAATAATAATCCTTGCATTTGATATAGCGCTTTTCACGTCTTCTAGACATCTCAAAGCGCTTCACAGAATATACTGTAAAGTGAATTTTCTGTATATTTGTGGGCTAACGCGGCAGCCAATTGCGCACAGCATTGTCCCACAAACAGTCGTGGATTGAAAATGACCAATTTATTATTGTTTTGTTTTTGGAGGGATTATTATTAGAGAGTAACACACAGTGAAGAGTCGTACTGAGCAAGAGAGAGATATCAGCAGAGAGACAGAGAGATAAGTTACTCCTAAAGGTGATCTTAACACAAGCGATTAAAACTGATATTGATACTCTGGTGGACATTTAAAGATGTCAGCTCTCTGGCACTTCACTATCTAAATACAGGATGACCCAATTATAACAATAACAACAACAACTTGCACTTATATTGTGCACTCCACACAGGGTAGCGTCTCAGAGCGCTTAACAGTAGCGGAGCCCATATTTATAAATATGCTAGAATTGGGCAATCCTGTATTTCGACAGTGGAGGGAGGCATTGGTCCTAGTTCATCTTTTCACCCTCCCCACATGATACAGTTGAACAGTACAAACTCACCCTTTATACAAAAAAAACGTTCAAGTAAGTGCAGTTATCTTGTGGAGATCCAGTAGTCTCCATTTTCATTAGCTATCTCTAACAGTGATCTTTAGCTCATTAACATTACACCATGACAGAACTGTGAACTGTGAACTGTGCATTTGGCATGTATTCAATTATAGTACGTAGCCTGGGAATCACACCTTCTGGCGCAATACAATACTTGTGTATGGTAACATGCCTTTTCTAATTCCACACTAAGGAAGAAGCTCACCCTGTCTATTGATTAACAACTTAGGTATAGAATAAATTACAGGAACTCATGATTCACTGTCTCTTGCCAACCTGTGTCTATTACTTTCTGGAAATAGGTAAGCAAGTATTACTTTCTGGAATTAGGTAATGCACTTCATTCCAGACACAAAGGTATTTCCATGAGTGGATGGCTTGCATACATGGAAATCTCAATTTGATTTGGACACTCTCAAACATAGCAATGGGTTTCCACATGTGTCAGACACCCGCCTGACCAAAATAAAATCTGATTTACTAAAAACAAATCCTTGGTGACAATAAACAAATAAACAAGCAAATAAGATTACATCATGCATTGCCCATAGTTCATAGCTATATTTAAATGAAACTAAAAATTGAATGTTTTAATCTTGATAATGCAATTCTTTCGTTTGATCCAGATATCAGGAACATTATTCTAGATTTCTGATAATAATTGATGCCAGATTATTGGAAATGCATATTTTCTCCCTAAATGGATTCAATTTATTGAATGACTTTTGGCACATTTTATTCATTAAAATGCTATCAAACATTTGCAAAAAACAATTTTTGTTCATACTGTTTTAATAAATATTACAATCTGGAGTACAAACACTTCCATACTATTACTGGAGACATTTTGAAACATGTGTTGTTTCAAATAGTTTTGTTATGATAGCAATAAACCTTGCTTGATATGATACCTTAACACATTTGAAATATCTCCAAGTTCTGGACAGAGTTATGACTGAAGTTGTGGGCAACCACAGCAGGCAATTTGCACAGAGGAATGTCCCACAAAAATCCATGAAGTGAGTAACCATTTTTTTTAATCTGGGGGATTGTTGGCTAAGACATCTATGTCTCTATGACACAACAAAATGGGCAGTTGAGATCTCAGATTGAGACAAATGTGAAAGAATCCCTTAGTATTGCAATGGAGTACAAGCTTGATTATGATCTGAAATCCTGATCCTGTTCTGTCATGGTATAATGCTAATCTTGATTATCTCACTACCTTCTGACCCAGAGATGAGATTGCTGCCGACCAAACCAATTTTGTTTCTATCTAGATTTAGATTATACAGTACTTGATTTCTGGGATAAGTATAATAAATTCAACCACTAGGAGGAGCTGAATTGCAAATCACAGGATCGCAAAGGTTATGATGAAGAAGGCCCTTCATCCCATTTTATCTATTCCTTCCCAAGGCCCCACCCTACCTTCCTCCCATTACTGCAAAAAGCTATTTTGTAAATGGGTCCAGTTTTCTGACCTCAGCCACCCTTGCCTGGAAGTTGTACCAGTTATTAATTGCCCTCTGGGTAAATAAATGCTCATATATTAGGTGTGGCCTGACCACAGCTTGTGTATGACTTCTGAGGATCTGCAATTCAACTGATTTGGCAATGTAACCCAACATCCTGTTCATCATATTTATTGATGCCTCACACTGTTTGACATAGTAATTGATGAGTCAACATTTCTAGGTCCTTTTTCAGCTTCCTCCTTGGTCCCATCAATGGAGTACATACACATCCCATTTTTACATCCTATATACAGAACCTTACATCTATTTGTTTTGAGCTTCATTTGCCAGTCAGCAGTCTATGTAGTTACTGTCCTTTGCCTCCTGTGATTTCACAGTTCTTCCAGTTTAGTGTCACATGCAAACCATGCACCGGGTCAGCAACTCAATGGTATTGGGGTATATGGTGAACAGGAGGGGTCACAGTACAGATCATCCAACAAAGAAGCCTAGAGTACCTGTATCTACCCAAGCTCATCTATCTAATATCAGCCTCAAGTAAACTGCTTTATATACTCTCCTCTACTTAATCACATTTTGATCCAAAATTGACGGTGGATTGACCGTAAATTATATATTTTTTAGACTCTTTGAAGTGCAATATTAGTACTGGGGCCTGCAACATTGTACTGTCTTTCAAGGGCTGTTAATATCAATATGCTCGGTTGCACACAAAATCTCTGGTATTAAATGTGAAAAGCATGCCAGGGATTGACAGGATGACAAAGTGATATGTTTAAGCCAAGGTGAGTGATGGTCACTTCTGAATGATGCGTGGCTGAGCTATTATCCATCTTGTGAGTTAACATCAAGTACTGCTGGATAAATTCCCCTTCCGCAGCAGTGTGAGTGTTTCCATTCACACCTTTCTGGCTCTCTGAATGAGGTAGACAAATGAATGCTAAATTGCAGGCAGTTTTGTGCCATGAGACCACATCCACTTTAAATGTGTTTAAGATTCCTAAAATTAATTGCACCCAAGACCCTTACGGCTATCAGAAAGATAAAGCCTTCAACCCAGTAGCAGTGCAACGTGGATTCAAACTTAGGTGAAAGGACGTATTGCTCCATCTAATTTTTCTTTTAAATATGTCACTGAATGTGCTCATCGGGTGTGATTTGGGTGATAGTCATTCAGGAAGATGAGTAATACAGAACAATTGTGTATATGGCAATGTTTTGTAACAGTTACTTTAAGGTGTTCAAGTGATTGCTTTACTAACTTTAAGCATTAGATACTGATTAATATGACTTGAACATCGCCAGACTACGGCACTACCTCACCCCTCACGCTGCTGAAACTCTGGTTCACGCCTTTATCACCTCAAGGCTGGACTATGGGAACTCTCTCCTCGCCGGCCTTCCCGGCACCTCCCTCCACAAGCTGCAGGTCATTCAGAACTCTGCAGCTCGTGTACTGTCCCGCACCAGGCTTCGCGACCACATCACTCCCACCCTCGCTCGCCTCCACTGGCTCCCCATCCCCCAGAGGATCGAATTCAAGATCCTCATCCTCACCTACAAGGCCATTCATGGCCTTGTTCCCTCCTACCTCTCCGACCTACTATCCCCTTACTTACCTGCCTGTACCCTCCGTTCCTCTGGCTCCAGTCTGCTCCACATCCCCCGCCCTAACCGCCCTACCATCGGTGGCCGGGCTTTCAGCCTCTCAGCCCCGAGGCTCTGGAGCTCCATCCCCCAGTGCCTTCGCCGCTTCCTCCCTTCCCTCCTTCAAGGCCGGTCTCAAGACCTTTCTCTTCAACCATGCCTTCAGCTCCCCTCTCGACTCTCTACCCCCACCTCGCTCCCTCCCTTCCTTTCCCTCACCCTTACCATTTCCCCCTGCTCGAGGCGCTCTATAAATGCAATCATATTGTTGTTGTTGAAATAATTGTTATGACAAGATCACAACATTAGTCTGGGTGAAGAAGGGCCTTTGACCCATCCAATCTAATTTCCTCCAGAACACCCTCCCCCTCCCCTCCCCCATCGCTGCATCAAGCTGCTTTTAGAATGAAAACTGCTTTTTAAATGAACAGGAATAGGAAAGAATTCAAAACTGATTGATACATCCAGTGAGTAACGATACTGAAAATACAGACCAACTACATGAACAGATGGGAGGGGATACCAAGCTTCTGTTTCTATGGTTTAATGTTATTAGACAAAACTATGGAAACCACTTTCTTCAGGGTAAAGTTCAGTGATCAGGACACTTTATTGCTTTTCGTCATGATGCAAAGTCCATTTCTTTTTTAAAAAAATAACAGCTACGGGAAAGTTGGGAGCAGTATCCAGAAAGTAAGCTTGCAACTGAGTCGCATTATCTCGAGAAACAAATTGAAAATTGAAACAATATTTTTGGCCAAGTGTTTTGTCCAAAACAACCTTTAAGCACCAGAAAATGCCATCTGTAAGGAAGAAACTGATGTTTCTAGCAGGATTTTCTGCCAGTCTGGGAACTTGTATATTAATAGCTGCAATAATGGCAACAGATAATTGGATCACTAGCTCAGTTCATTGTATGGCAAACTCAACTGGCAATGCAACTGGCGAACTGCAGCTTCGATATGGGTTGTTTGAAGGTGTACGCGAAAAGTTGGGCTGCCCACTCCTGATCGACGATGGGGATGTCAAAGGTAAATGCTACATAGCACATTACATTTGATTTGAGTGAGAATTTGAACATTCAGTCATGTGAAAGAAAAGCAAATTGCAAATCTATATTGGTTTGATTTGGACAATTGGGTTTATACACAGATGTTTAAATTTGGTTTAATTGAGTTGATTTTGTATTCCGATATATATCTTCCTGATTCACTGGGGCAGTAAACAGAAAATAAACTGTACACTTTGTACATGGATATTGGTATTTTTCAGTCTTTATTTCTGACTGCAGAACAGTAATATTTTATTTGACTGTATGTGTAAACAGCCATTTTTAAAAATTTCTAATTATTTTATGCAGTGGTCAAGGCAGGATCCATATTAGCTTTCAAGAGAGAACTGGATAGAAGTCTAAAAAGTAGTCATTTGCAGGGGTGTTGGGAAAGGCAGTTACATGGGAGTGAATGAAACAAGCACAGACATGATGGGCTGAATAGCATTCTTCTGCGCTGTAAATTTATAGGATTTTATTGTATCACATTACATGACTGTGTAGAAATTGGTGGATGAAACTGTAGAAATGAAGGTTGTATTTATATTTGTTCAAGGTTTAATTTTCGATTAAAAAAATCAACTTGGGGATTAGGTTTTCCTGTTTTTCTTGAAAGTAGGTAAATCAATCAAGACTGAAAAAATTGATCTTAAAAGAGCCAACCCAGACAAGATAGGCCAAACTGCCTTTTTCTGTATAGTAAATTTCAATGGTTGAATGCTGTATCCTCTCCTTATATTCTGTAACGAGTTTGTGCCATTCTTGTTGATGTAAAAGTATGCATGTGTCTACCTTTCTTAGTGGTAGAACGTTGATAGTGGGTTGCAATTTCTAAGCCAAGACAGAGTGATAGGAAGATATAGCCCTTTTCTCCCCTTTTTGTCTTGAGGAGCACATGGGAAGATCAGGCAGAGGGGCAGGAAATGAACTAAAGCCAAAACTTTTTGGGACTCAGACTGTTTACTAAAGCTTGGTTTTCAGTCAATTCTAATACATGTTTCCCCACAATTCTGCTTCTTGGGCCCTATTTTTAAGAGGTTGCATTCCCAGGCAGCATGGTGCTGAAATGCTTTGGAGCATCAATGTACGGCACCATAGTGCACGGGCCCATATGTGTGACTTCCTGCACCACTGAATTTCTTATTTGAGAGGGAGAGGTATTCACGGGCTGAAGCTGCAGTTCAACATACCATTCCACAGGCTTTCAGTTTGCCACAATTATCATGTGATGTGGGGACGATAGAACATACATTGAAACAAGATGGGTTTGTAGATGGTCTCCAGAGTTCCTGATACTGTCACACAATAAATGGTTACAAGGATGAGCATGAGAAAAGACGAGAGGGTCTCTAATCCAGCTGCAAAGTACCTTGCCACTGTTTAATAACCTTAACAAAGCAGATAATAATTCCTCCCCCCACCCAAAAAAAACATTTGGTCACTCAATCCACGATTGTTTGTGGGACACAGCTGTTAGCAATTGGTTGCCATGTTTCACAGTCAATTCACTTTACAATGTATTCTGAAAGCGCTTTGAGTTGTCTAAATGACGTGCTAAAGTACTATATCAAAAAGAAGGATCATTATTATCATTATAATTTGAATAGTCGAGAAAATATTTTTCTCTCAACTCAGTGGAAACAAATTAAAATAGCTCGAAATTTCAAGGCTTTTTAATTTTTAACCCAGTTTTAAAATGGATTCTAACTACAGCAGTTTACATTTATGTAGTGCCTTTCATTATATGTCTCAGGATGTTTCATATAACTGACTAAGCTGGAGGGGGATAGCTGGAGAGGGCATCAGAAAGTGCAGTCATAGATAGGTTTTAAGGTGCTGTTGGAAGGTGGAGAGGTTGGAAGATAAGGCGGATGGAGTTCCAGAGACTGGGTATAGAATTGGCTGAAGGTTCACCCACTGATTGTGAAACTATTTCTTGTCATGAAAAATAAATACAATTTACATTTCACTAACTGAGGTTAGTCATGCAGCAGTCCTTATGGAGGTGACTATATATCACATTAAATGTTGTCAAAATCCCAAATGTAGTATAATTAGTGAAGCGAGACTGATTAATAACAGATAAGTCAAACATCACAGCACTAACCAAAAGCAACAGGGGGTGTAGCAGAGAAAATGTGTGAACTAGATTTATATTCCAGCCTTTTTTGATTGCGTGGTAAATGTTAGTAGAGGTTATGAGCCATAAATCTGGCTCATTAAAGACCTTCCAGTTAAAATGTGCTGATAGAATTTCCAAGGCAGAACAGTAGCTTATTCAAATATTGATTTCATTAGTTGATTATAATATTGTGAAAAAAATTGTATGTGTAAGGATATGTATACTAACTCATATTATATGGTTGATGTTTTCAGTCATGGAATTATTCGGCGATACGAACAGTGCAAAACATATCCATATTGTGGTGATTTTGTTCACTGTTCTGGGGCTGGTGTTTTCGTTCCTGAGCACTATTGTCACCTTCTACAACAGTTTAAGTAATCCGTATGAGACCATCTGTGGGCCACTCAGTGTTTATGCATGCAGCTCCGTAAGCTGTAAGTAAGAACTAACACATTGTTCTCTGTTGTGATTGAAAGCTATTGTTTAGATTGCTGCTTAATATGCTTAAAAAGGGAACAACTTCTTTGATATTTTGTTTTTGGGTATAAAATAAGCAATTTCTGTGTTCTAGTATTCTGCAATTTTGCATTTTCTTAACGATAGCTTGTTCTCCAATTTATGTTTTTAGTTAAGTAACCAGTATTTCATACCCTCTAAAAAATATTAATGCTTCTGATGCAGGTTTGAGTTTCATTGTCAAAAAATCCTTAACATGAATCACGAATTAAAAAACAATACCATTTAATATGCTAATATTTTTTACCCCAGAATATTAAGTGGTGCATTATTGCATTGTGCAAACACAAAAGAATAAGGAAGCCATTTACCATCATAGAATATTGACACACAAAAAAGATCTAACCCCATCCCTCCATTTTTTCCTTATTCTCTTTCATGTTATTTTCTCAAGTATTTGTGCAATTCAATTATAAATGCTCATAAGGACTCGATTTCTATTGCATTCTAATTTCCTGTGTATATGTTACTTTGTATATTCGGTAAACTCCTGGTAACTCGATTCTGGCTTAAATTGCAATTACCACTTAGGTCATCATGCCAGTTTCCAGCTGCATTTATATATATATGTTTATACATATGCCTAAATTGCCACTGTGGATAATTCATCACTGAGCCATTTTCCCATGGAGCAATAAGTTACCAGGAGTTTACTGTACATATCTATAAATAAACTTCTACCTTCCCCTTTTATTCTCCAGTGCTAATCCTCACTATATGCCCTCCTTATTCACTCACCATTACTATTAGTTATTTAGTTACTATTTATTATTTAAATACAAAATTACTAATAGAAAACGTTTTTCTTTTTAGGCATTGTGATGTTCCTGGCAATGATTCTGTTTGTTATCAACACAAAGGTGAATGATCTTTCGACGATCTTGGTGAGAAACTCAGTTCCTCAAACCACCATTGAATTGAAGCATAAGAGTGACAGCTACGGATACTCCTTCTGGCTGATTTTGCTGTCTCTTGCTCTTAATATTACCTCTATTGTCATTGTCTATACCTATCAGCATGCAAATTACACCAAGCAAAAAGAGCAACAAAGACCAACAGAATATGCACCCAAAGATGTTTTGATGTATTAATTAAAGATAACATACAGTCAATTCACTTTACAGTATATTCTGTGAAGCGCTTTGCGACGTCTCAAAGACGTGATAAGGCACTATATCAAATGCAAGGATTATTATTAGTAAAATGATACATCAACCTCCAATGAATGAATTGAAAGCAGCGATGGCCAAATAATGTGTTCAGGTATACAAAGTTGTGGTATATTCCGTTCTGTACTGACTATGACTCCCCAATTATTAGTTGTGGACGATTGTTTGATCAATTTGTACCAATGTTGTATCAAAATCATTATCACAAGGAATGTGTTATGAAACGTCACAAATGTCACCCCTATTGACAGCCTTGTTCTGAATCTGAAGTTATCTAATACTGATCTGAAATATCATTTCAGTTCCAAATTTAAAAATGTTACAAAATTCCATTTTAGTTGATTTCAGTAAGATTTTGACTAATAAAATGTTGTTCAATTCCAATGAATTTCCTTGAATCTTTTAACATTTATTAATCCAAATATCCTTGTGTCGTACAGAATCACATTGATAAGCGGTAGGATGGTAAATGCCTTTACTCAACTTGTGTTCGTACAAGTTTCAAATATTATATTATCAAACTAGAGTATGATCCAGAATCTTGTGACATCAGGCGTACAGTTTGATGATTCTTATTTCTATAAATGGGCCATAGAAGTATTATAAATCATGAATGTGATGCTATTTTTCACAACTGATGATCATCTTGTGGAGTCCTGTAGCTCAGTGGTTAGCGCACTTGCTTTGCAAGTGAGACACCTGGGTTCAATTCCAGGCAGGGAGAAACCTTGGGCAAGTTTCCTTACTCCACACGCCTAATAATAATCCTTCCAAAAAACAAAACAATAATAAATTGGTCATTTTCAATCCATGACTGTTTGTGGGACACTGCTGTGCGCGGATATTGGCTGCCGCGTTTCGCCCACAAATGTACAGTCAATTCACTTTACAGTCTATTTTGTGAAGCGCTTTGAGACGTCGAGAAGACGTGAAAAAGCGCTATATCAAATGTAAGGATTATTATATTATATTATATCGTACATTGTCAGCCTCCAGAGTGAAATGTGTGGATAAAAGAATGGAGTTTACCCAGGTTGGAGAGGTAGGAGGGTTTGAACAACAACAATAACTTGCATTTATATAGCGCCCCTCACACAGGGTAGCGTCACAGAGAGCTTGACAGTGGAGGAGCACAATATTCCAGAGCATGAAGTGAGTTGTACATGAGTGGGAAGATCTTGAAATCAATAGGGAACTCGTGGAGTTGGGCAAGTACTAAAGTGATGAGGGTATGGAGTTTGGTGCTGAAGAGGATATGGACGGATACAAGATAAACAAGGAGAATTTCCACCCAGAGCTACATTTATTCCCATTTCAGCAATATTTTAGATTATCCAGAATACAGCTTTAATTTTGAAGCCATTTTTCTGCCAGTTCTTTTAAACCCCAAATTTTGGACACTCTGAAATGCTACATACATAGAATAAATCTAGACCCAGGTGGAATTTCAAACTCAAATAATGGGTCACCAGTTTGTTCTTAAAATGGTAAAATGTTAATACTTTTTGTATTTAAAAGATTGTTCTCCTATTATTGTTATAGAAATTTGTTAGCATTTTCTTTGATTAGTTAACTAGAATATGTAAGGAAGTTTATATCATAACTAAAATGAATTATGAATAATGTGTTACAACCGTACTGTTTTAAACAGTAAATAGTCTTTAATAGTCTTTTTTAACATACTTCATGTTGGGCTACATTTCATTATATTTGTGTTGTTTATATCCGCACCAGCACGAATGTAAAGCAAAAATCTGAATGCCATGCTACAAAGTATTGATATTATTCACCTCAGCAGAGAGCAAGGTCATAACAGCAAGTTAACATTAATTGCTTAATTCAAATTAACTTTTGCCGCATGGCAATTTTAACCATTTGCTAGAGTGGAAATACTTTATAGTTTTAAGAAGATAATACAACACTGAAACCAATCAATGTGGAGTTACTATTGTTGAGGACATGTTGTTAATTCCAATCAATTTTGAGTTTTTCTTGACAGGATTTCTTCATTATGAAATCACATTAAGAAATACCTTTTGTTTCAATAAACTCCTTTCAGTTGTGTGGCACCATGCATCGTGACGGACACTCTAGTAACTAATGCATTGTTTATTAGATCTATCTAATGGTAACAAAATAGAGATCCAAATGTACTATGTAATATTGTTCAGAAACTTTATGTAACTTTCTGTATTCTGTCAAAACATACTTATTCTCAAAATCATGTTTAAATGACTTTGTTCAATCTGACATATAAGAGCTTAAGATGTACCTTTATTTTTATTTGTGTTTGGTGAGTTCCAGTGCATTTCTCTGTTGAGAATGTTTGTTTGGTAAAGCACAGAAGCTTGAGTCGTGTTCTTTGTATAGTTTGGGATTGTTAGAAGTGCTGATGTGAAATAAATTTATTAAATACATGAAAAGGTCATAGTTTTTTTTCAAACCCTTTGGTCGTTGGCTCAATTGCTAAATCTGAGTGTGAAACCTAATCATACGGCCCTATGTATGAGTTTCAAGGTATGATTTATGGTATGTTCTAAGTTAACTCATTACAGCCAAAGCTGCAGCAGAAATCAAGGACACAATACATTATGCTTGGTGGTGGGGGGGGGAGCAAAATCATCTAGATCCTCGCTATCAAGTGAGTTCTTGCTAGAAAGTTTTAGTGTGTTGAGGTTAGACTGTGACGTTCTCCATAATCAAATAGCCAGCCGACACATACTCACTGTCTTGTCTCCAACATGAATGAACGTCACTACAGTAAGGTAAAAAGGCACAACAATTGGCTGTGGAATCATATCCCATTCCCGAATCAGACTCTTCAGGAAGACGAGAGAAGAATATCGGACAGAGAAGAAACACATAGATTAAAAATAGCTCTTATGCTTCCTTTATCTAAGGCGTATTTTCCATTTGGCTCCTCATTGTTAAAACCTGTGACAAATTCACTGCATGGCCTAGCCCAGAATAGTTACTCAATCATTTTAACTCATCTCTCTTTGCTCTTTAATGTTCTGATACATTTTATTAATACATAGACAGTCTGGGAGTAACATTCTTTATTTATTGATATTTACATTACCAATTAAGAGTATCAATTAAGAGTAAAATATCAGTATCAACAGTATCAATTAAGAGTAAAATGAACTTTGATAGAGAGAGTTTCTTTAAACTGTTACGGTGTCAATGATATATTTTATGACTGCAATTTACAAAACAAAGGGTGTCAGCACCTGAACTCTGTCCAAAGTATTAATACGCAATCTCACAAATTTTACATGCATCCACAAAAATATCAACCTTAATGTTAACCTGAACATTCACCTACATACTTAATTAATCCTGCGAAGTGCTTTGAGATGTTTTGACGATGTGATAAGGCACCGCATCAAATGTAAGGCTTATTATTTTACCTCTTTACTCACACCAAATTGTTTTCATCAATGTCAGTTGGGGTTTGATGAAAGAATCTCCCCGTGAGGATAAAGTATCAATCAATGAACGCTGAATTCTAATTTCTATGACACTGAGTAAAATCTGTATTCATCTTTATCACACAGGCAATGTTGGCACATTGTTAGCCACTTAGTTGATTTCAAGCTCTCTCTCTCTGATTACCCCACAATGCTCTCCTTGTGGTTTACAAGCTATTGACGTCACACTAAAACTACTGCGTTGAAAGGAAAGTCAGTGAATCAAGATTATTTTCAAAAGTTGGGATTCCTGCAGAACTCATGACTTTGGACATAACAATTCAGTAATTTTACGTGACCAGTCTAATTTGTTTAATTATTACTATTATTGTTATTATTATTGTTATTATTATTATAATCCGTATAATATCTTGTTTTTTTTTGACAGGGATTATTGATAGCATTCAAGTTCAATAATAACGATTCTTGGTTAGTGACGGACAACACAAAACAGTCTAAAATATCCACGGGGAAAAAAAGTGAAAAAATGAAACAATGGTTTATAATGTTATATAATATAATCGCCTAAAAATGTTCATGTCTAAAAATCTGTTTTAAGTTCAGTTTCAGCCACGTTGCTTAAAATATACGAGGATAATACAGTAATTAATCGATGGTGATACGATCACATAGTTGTAATTTCCACTTCTGTTGAAGTCTCAGTCAATGATAAGTAAAGCTCCCAACCCACCACCCGTCCAGCTCTGCCTTTGTCAAAGTGGTTGCACAGTGTTGACTGTGGCAGACAGACACAGTGGTATAGCATTAGAGTGCTGGCTCGTGGAATACAGGCTTAACTCAATGGATAATGTGCATGTCCAATGTGCATTGTCTTTATTATATTCCAAACTGGGAATATAATATATCTCCAATGAGCTATTTTATTGAGACATTTCTTTCGCTGACAGAGAATGAAGCAAAATCAGGAAACATGAAAGGGTTTGTTCATCAACGTCTTGAGCTGGCTCAGTTCCTGCCTGTTCTGAAATGTTGGCTTGGATTAGCCATACTGGCCATCTGGGAAAGTTTGCACTGCTGCATGTACTAATCGCCAGCAGCATGAACTGTTACAAAGCAGGATTCACACTGTTTTGCCCTAATAAATTTGAAGTAACAGCTATGAAAATAGTGGAGGCAAATGTGATAATTGGATGATGTTCATAACTCTATTTAAAAATCTGATAAAACCGACGAGGGACATTCTAATGATTGTATTATCCACACAGCATTAGGGCTATTTGCAATGAAGCCAACACCAAAATGTCCTTGCACCTTCCGAGTTCATCCATCCTTTGCCATTGTGTTTCAATTTAAAACTGAAAGGTTGAGGGAAATAAAAGCAGAGGGAAAGAAAAACTGACGTTGATTAAGGATACACTTAAAGTTACAAAATTGAGAGATAGCGAATAATGCTTGTTTGGGAAATGAGCAAAACTAAGAAAGAAATAGGAACTGAGATTGGCATGGCGG